TTTTTCAAAAACTTTATTGTAGTGGATCTTAGGCACAATTTTGTTGCACAACATCGATTGTTAGTTCTTAAAACAATATTTAACAGTGCACGGCAATGTGCAATTTCATTTGCAATATATAAATACCCGGTCGTTTGAAGATGATTTTAAAAAGCTTGTAATACATTTTTCTGCAAATTGTTGGACGATCCGCATTTTTTTGCACTTAAACTGCTTTAGTGTGTATAATTGTGTGTGTACTTTAATTGGAAATTTAAAAAAGGCGAAACTCGAACAGGCATTTAGTAGATGAGCACCCTTAACCTAGTATTTGCAGTATCTGCAGCTTCTCCCTTGATAATTTGTTGATTCATTGTTATCAGCGTTATAAAATAAACTGCACCGAACACAATAATATCACACTCAATAATTGATAAGTCAAAATCACTGTCAGTTTAATAACGCAATAAGTATTTGAAAAGTTTATCAGATCTACAGATGCACCCGCACTAAGAGAAAAATGTCGAATTCGAAATGCATATGTGCTATTGTAGGAGTTGTTGGAAGAGGCCGGAGTGGGAGCCGCCGAGAAAAATCGGTTCACCCTCCCATAAAAAGTTATCACTTCAAAAACTAGTTTCTTATCAAACCTGTACTTGTTTTCTTCGCCTTTTGCACCATTAATAAGAACCGTTTTCTGCTATTCCAGGTGGAGAAAAACACAAGGCGCTCACAGTCCTGCCATTCTTCCATATTTATGGCTTCAACGGCATCATGAATATTTGCTTACGCTTAGGAAGTCATATCATCACCATTCCCAGGTAAATATCAATTTACCGAGCCAAAAAGGGCAAATTCTCAATTGAGCATCGCTCTAGGTTTACCCCTGAGGACTACCTGAAAGCACTGGAAACCTACAAACCGACTTACCTCTTTGTTGTGCCCTCATTGCTCTTGTTCCTGGCGTCCCATCCAAATGTAACTAAAGAGCATCTGAGCTCTATCGAGGAAATCACTTCAGGGGCTGCGCCGTTGACTGAAGGTCTGTTGCAGAAATTCAGGCAGAAACTCGACAATCCTGATGTGATGATTCGTCAAGGTAAGCTAGAGGATTGCCAGTTTCTACGGTTGCTCGGAGTAAAACCTTTCCATTCTTTTGCAGGGTATGGGATGACTGAGACCAGTCCGGTAACGTTCATCATGCCAAAATTGACTCCTCCGTCCAAGATTGGCACCATTGGAATACTCTATCCAGGCACGGAAGCCAAGGTGATCAGCCTGGTTACTGGGGAATCTATGGGAACGCACCAAACTGGAGAACTTCTCGTAAGAGGACCTCAGGTAAGCCCCTTAACATGCACGCAATAAATAACAGGCTAAATTTTCGGTTTTTCAAACCCCGCAGGTCATGATGGGGTACTTGAAAAATGAAAAAGCCACTGCCGAAACGATTGATGAGGATGGCTGGTTGCACACTGGAGACGTGGTCTACTATGATGAAGACCACTATTTTTACATTGTCGACAGATGCAAGGAGCTCATTAAAGTGAAAGGAAATCAGGTGAGTTATTTGGTCTATTTAAATTATTTCAACTTCTGAAAGGTAGAGCATACAGAGCATTAAGAGTTGACGTCATTGCTCTCTAAAGGAGGAATACTCCCCCTATATGATCTGGGTGCATGGATAGCACAGAAAAAATGCACTCAAAAATTGAGCGGTTTCAAAATATCATTTTCACAATCAACCGATAACAAATCAGTCCATTTGGACATTTGAAAACCAAACAACAAACATACATTTTGAAGTTTTTTTTAATAAAAACTAACTCTAAAAGAACGTCTAGATTATCAAAATGCTATTACAGATAGTCGCACACTACTACAATGTATAAAATAAGGAAATGCAGTCTAAAACTATAGTAGTGCTAAACAATATTCCATTCTTAAGTCTATTTACATACAATTCAACGCGTCAATGATACAGGAGCCACCGCTTACATTTACACGTCATTTATTCAGCAATGTTTTATAAAACAGATTGGAAAAGTTGTCGTAAAATCCCTATGAATTCTGAGTCACTTCCATCGGTTCGGCTTCTTTGTCCTGTTCTACCGGCACATCTGATGTGCTGTCGTCCACTTCCATGCGAGTTTCTTCGTCGCCCATTGAAAACGAAGAAACTTCTTCAACTTTTGACGATTCGTCCAAGCCTTTGGCCGCTAGGGGTTCAACTGAAACCTCATTAGTTTCCTCCTCTTTCTGTTGTTCCACTGGCATACTCCCAATGGATTTTTCCTCTTCGCACTTCTTATCATCTTCCGTTGACTCGACTTGAGGCGACTGATCCGCACAAGGCTTATCCAGGTCTAAGGAGGAGCTTTCTTGGCTATAATCTGCCAAATCCAATTTTTCTACTTGCTCAACGTTATCATCGGCTGTTTCTGTAGTGGAATCTACAACGTTAGTCACATTGTCTGGAGGTTCGCTGGGCGGACTTTCCAGCAATTCAACTTTCACACTCGCATTTAGATTATCTTGCACTTCTTCGAGTGCAATGGATTTGTAAGCCGAGTCGTCTGTTGAGGAAATACTGTCATCCTCAGCAATGGCAGCTTTGTCAGGTTGAGCTTCATTTATTGAGGAAACTTCTGCCTGCTTGGAGTCTTCAGGCGGTTTTTCTGCAACCTCCGTCGATGATATGGTTTCAGAATGACTGGGGCCTTCGGAAGTTGTGGCAGGCTGTAGTGGTTCGTCTTCGGATAAAACCTTTTCTTCCACCTCATTAATATTGGCCTGCAACGACAAACCAGTTAGCTAAAATAAAGCTTTTTATGGGAAGCTACTTACAGTGATGTTTTCCATTATGATATCAGTGCTCTGTGAGGAGCCCTCTGTTTGAATTGAGTCTCGTTCTTGCTCGTGAGGAGGTTCGTTTTGTTCTTTCACATTAATGGCAGTGATGGTGAGGGAAACACTCGATTCCTTGGAATCATCGGAGAGGTTCTGGGCGGTTTCATCTACCGGCTCAATGGATACATACTGAACGCAAACTATTTCCTGGCTGGATGTGGAGGCCTCAGAGGTCACCTTTTCGCTGGAAAATGTGTCCACTGTGCTCTCAATCTCGATGTGTGTTCCATTGGTGGTGTTATCAAAGGAAATGTGTTCAGCTACATGGTTGCTGGACTGTACATATGAAGGGGCATTGAAATCGTCCATTTCCTCTACGTTGATCTCGTTGGCAGGCTCAGGAACCATCTCATGGTCCGACTCCACCCCATTCATTATGCTTTCCCCATTCTCAGTTCTTCGCCCGCATGGCTCCATTGTACTTACTACCAGTATGTTTTTTTCCAATGCCCGCATGTATTTATCGATTCTGGTGTATTCCTTGCGGGGGCTTGTCAACAATTCACATATTCTTTGTAGTGTAAAAGGGGCCGAGGCAAATGTGTCCAGTTTTTCCAAAATGAAGGTCTTCATGAGATCATAGTTGAACATTTCGACGTTGGGACAAGGCGGAATTTCCATCGAAGTGCAGGACTCGTAAAACTCGGTTATCACACTGATTAGTTTCTCACGAAATAGGCTTCTAATCGCTGGCCATTGATATACTGGGTCCCCAGTCTTGGCAACGAACTTTAGGTACTCCTCCAACTCTCTGGGTATGTCTTTGGGCTTCATTTTGGCAAATTCCTCAAGACTGTGCAAGATTTCCTCCGGATTTTCCATGTTTGAACACAATTTACAACAATTTCGGAACCAAACACTAATAAAAATGCTGCTTGACGTTTGTCGCACGATCACTTGTCACGTACTACGACACCTCCTCTTCTCTTGCAAAGCTAACGATTACTGGTCGCATGGTTCACTGTTGCCAATGGTGTCCAAATATTTATTCGATGACGAAAGCCGTGCGCATAGCGACAGGGCTGTACTTTGGAATTTGCGCCCATTTATCAGTTAATTAGTGAATATTTGAAAATGATAGATATTGCATTTTGGTTAATTGCTTTGATATTCACTGGGTACATGAGAAATTTTTCAACAGATTTTTGTTTGTTTAACATTTGCAGTGGTCTATTAGCATTTTTATAGTTCCTTGCTAATTTTTAATCATTGGATTTTTTTTTAATTTTCAATGATAATTTTTTTAAATATTGGTTCATTCTAGAGATTTTCAAGCTGTATTAAAAAAAAATAGCCGGCAACAGGCTGAAAGGTAGTTCTGGCGCAAAAAAAAATTAATATTAATCATTTTTTTTTGTTTGTTTCAGGTTTCACCAACTGAACTAGAAAATTTGATACTGGAAATCGAAGGAATTATTGACGCGGCAGTGGTAGGAGTGCCTGATGAATTGGCAGGTGAAGTACCAAGAGCTTATGTAGTGGCTAAACCAGGCGAGAATATCAACGAAGAAGACATAAAAAAATTCATCAGTTCTAAAGTGACGCACTACAAAAAGTTGGCGGGCGGTGTTAAGTTCATCCAGGCCATTCCACGCAACCCCAGTGGCAAAATCCTCAGGAATGAGCTGAAGATCCAGAACCCTTAAAACCCTGCGGATTTCGATATGTAAATGTGCGTTTGACTCTTTTTGGCGAATAGTTTTTTCGAAATTCTGAGCAATGTTGTATTGCAGGATTGACTGATTTTGAATACGTGTGAATGCACTAAAATTAAGATTTAATTTATTAATCAAAAGCCGAATACTTTCAAAGTATGTTGATATTTCTGGAGAATACTCCGGTTGTTACTCGTTGATTTTGAGAGAGGGGGAGCAATAACTACTATTTATCTCAAATTGCGTTTATTTAATTTGCCAAATTGGTATTGAGATCGAAAGTTACACAAACTTAATTATGTGATGTACACAGACAATTTTTTTCTAAGTTGAAAAGTAGTAGTAGTTTTTTAAAAAAACATCAATATTTATAGTTATAGTTTGTAAATAGTATTGTTAGAGATTTACCAGACTACTTTCGCATTGGATTTTTTAATAAAATTAAATTTTGAAAATGTGTTATGGTTTTATTGAAAGTGCGAAATACGGAAAACTATTGTGGGTTTCAAGGAGGAAAAACAACAAATCAACGTGATTTCAATAAACGCGCCACAATTAAGGCTTCACCTCAGGCTAATCCCGCGCTTATTTTGACGAATTGGTTTAGAGAAGACCGTAGAAGCATAATAAATCCTATTTTGTGCCCACATATTTTACTTACAAAAACCAATAATGCGGGAAATGGAAAAATAACTGTAAGGACAGGACTTCACAGTTTTTAACAAGAAAATTTTCTTATCATTGATGGGTAACCGGAATGAAGGTGGAAACTTCAAGACATTTAAAATAAATTGAGGAAATCATTAAATCTGTCCCAGTCACAAAACAACTTCAGGGAACCAAAAAGGTGTTTACTGAAAGGCAAATCTATTTTTGTATGTTAATGCGCACATTAAGTAAGTCTGGGAGAAAAATGGCTTAACCGTAAATAAACATCTGCAGATCCCAATAATCTAAATACAGTAAAGTCCGCTTATAATGAACTTTCGGTTAAAACGAACTTTACTCTTTTAATTGAAACGTCCATAAAGACCAACGTATTTTTTTACTGGTTACAACGAAGTTTCGAATATAACGATCACTTTTTAGGTTAGTTGTATATTCACTTTCCGTTTATAACGAACTTCCACGCTCTGCAACACGAATCGTGCGGAGTTGTTTGTATAAGTGAGGGTGAGAAACAGGCAGTGCCTTGTTGTTTTTTGCCGCGTTATGTTTATAAATCATTTTAGAATGGAAAAACAAAAATGCAAAGCTTTTTCACTAAATGAAAAGTACGAGGTTATTAACAAAATAAAAAGTGGAGTAAAGCAGAGTGACATTTGTAAGGAATTAGCACTTGGGAAGTCTACTGTTGCAACAATATGGAAAAACAAAGAAAACATTTTATCAGCGTATGACAAAACAAATGTTAGACGTAAGAAGTTAAAATAATCTGCACATGAATAGGTTGACAAAGGGACTTATTAAGTCGTTTACTCAAAAGAGACAAGAAAACGTTCTCATAAGTGGCAGTGTTTTGCAAGAAAATGCTAGTGAAATGGGGAGTAAAATCAAAAACAACGTTTGCTTGTTCTAGAAGTTGGGTAGAGCGTTTTAAGAAGAGACATAAGATCAGTATGGTATGGACATAAGATCAACCTATGGATCAAGGAGTAATACATTCCCTAAAGTCATTATAGGAAAATTCTTCGTACGAAAATGTTAGAGGCGATCGATAAAAATGAAACATTTTCTATAAATCTCTTAGATACAGTCAATTTCATTCATAGAGCTTGACAAAAAGTTAGCCGAAAAACCATTGCAAATTTCTTTAAGCATGGTGGATTTGTAAGAAAAGAAAATGATTATGAACCAGACGATAAAATCCCACTTAATGAATGGTTAGAAAAGCATAAAGACTCTGACTACGAGTATGACTCAGATGAAGATGACCCCAATTTTGTCGAAGAACAGGTTAAAACCAAATTGCGTGATTTCAATTTTTTCGAATATGTGAGCATTGATAATGGCATTCTTACAAGAGAAATGTTGACCGATGAGCAAATTATAGACTCCGTAACCTCA